AAGCTGCATAGATAATGTTACTTTGAAATGATAGGTTTCGCCTCCTTATGATATAGACTTCAGGAAATATGCTAAAGCTGGACTTGTTAGAATATATCCTACCTAAGCGTGTGTAATGCTCTGTGAGTTTTATACCGTGCTAAAGAGAAATTTTTTTAAAGAATGCTAATTAGCAGTAAGCGTCTAACTGCAGGGATTTTTATAGGGGCATTTTTAACAACTAGGTTGAGTGGGCTTGAAGATCATACATAATCCCTGCACCCTCTCCTTCGGATCTATGAAAGATGATATCCACTCTATTCTCGCCTTAAATGGAGACATTAAGTATAATTACCTCATGGCCACTTTCCTCTTCTTCGCTCGATGCTCTCTTCTTTTTGGGGCTAAAATTATCGAAATTAATTACTGGTGATGCTAGTGGGTCTAGCTAGGACTCACGCTGACTTAGTTTTCTTGGCACCTGCCTTCTTCTTGCCGCTACCTGGTGGACGACCACGTTTTCTGCCACTGCTAGGCTTTTCAATAGTCTTCGTTGCCTGAAAATCCAAATTTTCGACTAAGTCTGAGTGAAGTTTTCTTTTAGGTTTTGAAAGTAACGTAAAGAGGAGTTGAAAATAATGTTAATAATGCCACTTTCAACTACCTTGTGTGATAAAATGTAAGTTTGCTACAAAAAAACTCCTAACTAAACCATCTTAATGGCTTTATTTAAACCTTGTTTAACAGTATTTCATAGGTGATTCTGATTAGTGGAGGAAGCGAAAGAATGTAAGCTAATGCGACTTTTTAGATGTTGTTGAGGTGCAGAAAAATGCGAGGGGATATAAGACCTAGGGGATTATTAATGTGTCACCACTCCATCAATCTATTCTTTTGTTCCATGGCATCTCATGAAAAGAATATTTCTTCAGAGGTACACGGGAGGAGCATTTGTTCAATTAATAAAGGTTGAGTTAGTACAACTACAGTCTTTTCCACCAGCCTCCCAGAATTTTTTCTGAAGAATTGCCATTCTAATTACCTTTACTATCGTCTTATCCTCTCCATTTACATCT